GCTCTCTCTCTCTCTCTCTCTCTCTCTCTCTCTCTCTCTCTCTCTCTCAAGTAGCAGTAGGAGTAGGAGTAGGAGTAGGCGTAGAAGTAGGAGGAGTAGGAGGAGTAGCAGAAGCAGAAGTGGTAGCGGTAGTTTTAGTGGTAGTAGTAGGAGTAGTAGTAGTAGTAGTAAACTCAATTAAAAGATTGCATGTTTCTTTCTCCCACTATATTCATGAATTGACCTCTGCAATGAAATTGCTTCATAACTTGATGTTGAGAGATTTTGCCTCTTGATAGAGCTGCAACACTAACATCCAAAGTATACCCAACAAAACAAGAAGAAAGAAATGAAATGGAAAACATATTCATTGATGTTGATCCCTTTTGGTAGAATGTGACAGCTGCTACCACGTCGCTGGCAAGGTGCTTGAATGTGTCATCCTATCGTTCATCTCAAACAATTTGATAACTAACTTCACTATACTTTTTTCTCTTTATCTTTCTTTTAATTTATGAATTACCTACGGCAGTCTTTGATCACTCTAACATTTATCAACTCGAGACCCTGCATTTGATGCCCTGGAACCACATTATATTTCAAGTGTCATCCCAATTTGAAGATTTTAATTCCCTTGCAAGAAGAGTGGGGACAAATATGCATGGATATTGTCCCTTGTGCAATGTTTGTATGGTTTGCTTGCCAGCTATTCCTTTGTTGCCAGTAAACACTTCTGTTTTCTAGTATTCGGTGTTCTCCAACCTCGTGTCACTTCAGATCTTCATCAAATTCATGGTTATCGGTTTAGTGAACATCTGTTTGCACTATGATTATCGACATTTAGCATTAGGATTTAAGCCTTTATTTCAGTTGAGATTCTGCATCTATGTCAATATGCTCTACAGATTCACACACACAAACATCTCACCCATGTATGCATATTATTACAAGATTTTTAGGATACTGTTTTTTCTTTTTGTGGGCAGCAACCCAATGAAGTGATACACAAGAGTTTAGTGTCGCCATTGTGATCAATTATGGAAAGATGATCACACAAAAATCGAGATGTTGTCCATTTTCTTCACTTATGGTGGCGGGTAGTTGCAAGTACTTTAATGATGTTAGAATGTTCAGAAAGTTCATTGGGCTAGAATTTTGAGTCTAGCTTCTTATCTTTGTTCCTAAGTTGTGGCTACCATTAGATAGGAGAAGTTTCTTATGTTTATATATTTAAAATTGTTTACTTCAATTAAAATAGTTTCAACATTGGGTTGCTGATTGCTTAGGCTCTTACTGACAAAAATTGCCACACTTCATGCATTGTACATTAATTGTCGGTGATGGATGAGTTATTTAACCACCTGCAAAGTATCCACTTGTGGTTTATACTTGGGAATTATTAGCAAGAATAAACAATTGGCTTTGCAATCCAGACCTGGAAGATCCATATACAGGTTGAATCCATTATCATGATTGCATTTAGTTCAGGTGTATTTCTAGTAAACAAAATACATTTATACGTCTTTCAGTTGCTTGATAGCTTTATTTGTTTAAAATACTTGAATAGGAGTAACTTATTTTAGTCTCTTCTAGAACAAGTATTTTATATGCAGTTCTTTCTCAAACAAGTCTTTGTTATGTACTTTGTTTGCCTTCTTATAATTTCTGCAATATCTAAATAGTCTTTCTTGCACGCATTTGCTAATGTAGCATTGCTTAATCTTATTACGTCTACTTAGCTTATCTCCACTTGGCAAGTAATGCTCCTTTGTCTATAATATATTTCATTGTTCTCAAACTCATACATACTCTGTTTCTTTAGAATTGGGAGAAAGGAAGGTTGTTTTCATTGCAAGAGCAAATTGATCATAAGGTACTATTTCAACACCAACTTTTTTTTATTTTGTGTAATCGGCAGTTTAGGTTGTAAAAAGTTATGTAAGTAACTGCATGTCTACTATTTTATGCATTTACATGTCTAGCTATACCAGCTTGACTAAATAATTTCTTTCTTGCTAAAGTTGATTGATTATCAAATGAATTCTTGCAATAGAAAATCACTACTATTACTCATTGGATTTTATTTTCTATCATCAGCTACTATATTGGATTGATTTCTGATGACAGCTCATTTTAACTTTTTGTAGATAGAGTTTGTTGATCGACAGCTTCAAAATTCTGAAACTCCTATTGTTTTGGTAATAATTATGCATTTAAAATTCAATTGGATCTTCTAAATGCTTGTATATTTTTTTCACTACCTAGTTATTAAGTACATGTTCATATTCCTGCGTACTATCGTGTATGCATCTCTGGTGCTTAAGGAAAATCTATCATTGAAGGAACTTTGCCTATGAGATTTTTGCCAATTCAGTGGAGGAAGTTAGGTCAAAGCAGGCACTGCAAGAGAAATCTAAAACGAGAGCAGAAAAACCATGTAAATAATGTGGTGAAGAGTGAATTATAGTTCTCAAACTTGGAAATTTGGCAGCCCTATTTAGCTTATGTTCGGCTGTAATTCATTTGAGATGCATAGATGCTGGGCTATTCTTTTTTCTCGTTAAGCTCTTACCTCATTTTTATGTTGTCTTGCTCTTAGTATATTTTATAACCCCTTTCCCTTCACTTCTTCCTTTATCTCTTGATTCTCATTCTCGCTCTCTATTGTCCTCTCTGTCTTGTTCATTATGCCTGCCCCGCTCTCTCAGCTCCTTCCTGTCTCTATTAGTGTTCTAGTTCTTAGTTTCTCTCCTTTGCCCTCACACTTCTCTCTCTCTCTCTCTCTCTCTCTCTCTCTCTCTCTCTCTCTCTATACCCTTGACCTACCTTTTCTTTCTCACTTGTTAAATTCTCTCTCTAATATTTCTCATGGTTTTCTTATTTGTATGGATCCTGCACATTTTTCTTGATAAGTTCCATTTTGTTTCATACAGTTAAATGAGGAAAATTTATCAAAATACTAATAAGAGATGAATTATTTAACATTCTATCCATTTGCAAATCAAGATTATGTATTTTGTATGGGTAGTTTGAAATTAAATCAAAAGATATGGGTAAGGTGTTAAATTGTTCATCTTTCTTTCTTTGAAACTGTCAACATTGTATTAAGATGGTGAAGGAGTACAAAAATGGCATCCCATAGCTAATACAAAAACCAAAAAAGACACAGTCAGGCCCACAATAACAAAAAAAGTTTCTTTTTTTGCGGGTGTGTGTGTGTGTGTGTTGGGCTACTCAAAAAATGCTATACGGCATGCTTATGAATAAAGTAGATGCAAAAAGGAATGTCATGGACACATGGGAGTTGAGTTCAGTGAGATGCTGTGATGGTTCCCTGTGTGCCATTCAAAAAGGATCCTTCTCTAGTGAGGTGGTTTGCTTCTGAGTTTGCTTCGCACTAAGTATGTTTCCATGAGATGTGCATATCCATGCAAATATGATGAACTTTGTAAAAAATGTGGAGTAACCTCCATGGGCAAGGATAAGTTAAAAAAACAAAAAAAAAAAAACTCCATGGGAAAGGAGAGGGACATTGGGCTCCAAACTAGGTTAAAGTTCTTGACTCCTTCAAGGAGAGCATGAGCTTCTGTCGTTGTTGAGTCGGCTTGGCCAATGGGTATGGAGAAGGATAGGAGCGTGTTGTCGGCATGGTTTCATAGGTCATAATCATTATCCGTGCCTTATCCCAATTATTTGGAGTCGGCTACATGAATCTTGTCGTTCCGCTTCTTGAAGGGCCATACCCTCAGTAATGCCATAAGTCACCATATCTTTTTGTACTACTTCCATCCATGTCCTTTTGGGCATTCTTTTTACTCTTTTAGAACCTTCCAGTTGAACCAAATCACCCCTCCTAGCCAGTGTTGTTCTAGATAGACACAACACATGGCCATCTCACCTAAGTCTACTTTCCTATATCTTATCGCCTATTGGATCCACCCCTAAGTTCTCTTTCACTAATTCATTCCGAATTCTATCATTTCTTGTCTTGCCACTAATCTATCTCAACATCTTCATCTCAGTTATAGTCATTTTATAGATATGTTGTTTCTTGACTGCTCAACATTTTGTCCCATAAAGCATAGCAGGTCTTATAGTTGTCCTAGAAAACTTTCCCTTTCGTTTTATTGGTATGTGGTGATCCCCTTCATCTGTCATGGGTAATTTGATAAATTTCCCTTCAAAAATTTTCAAGATTAGCGGATTATTGCCTTCTAAAGTGATGAGTCAGAGTCCAAAGTTGTGAACTATGATAATAATATGACAATCTGTTCAATGGATACAATTCTTCAAAGTAAATGCTTCTGCTTATTCTACCATATTTTTTCGTTATTGCAATTTCAAATTGTCAGCATTATCTCTACTTTTTTTTTGTTTGAAGAAAAAAAATCTTGATGTATCATTTCTTCCAAAATTTGGGAGTACCTGACATATGTTTTCTTAGTAAAGGTTGGGCATTCTATTGGTTCACATATATCACTGGAGATTTTCAGAAGATTTCCAGACAAGGTTATTAACTTTTGCCCTAAAAACATGACTCTTATTCTTTTGCTTTTTAATTTATTTTTATTATTTTGCTTCTATAATCGAACTTAAAGCTATTCTTGACTTTTTCTCATTAATAATGTTCTTCTAATCAAGTTATATTACTACTTTTCTTGCAGGTTGCGTATTGCATTGGACTCTATCCATTTTTGACATTGAACAAGGAGTCCTATCAACAAATCTTTATTGGGACGATAGCAATGTACCACTTCCCTTCTCTGTTTGTGAAGAAATAGCTCACTTTTATGTCTACTGTTTTGATTTTCTTGTGTATGCCACGTTGGATTGGTTATAATGTGCTCTTCTCCTTATGTATTTGCTAATATGTCTTTCTTAGTTTGCTAACTTGGTTTGCATGCATGTGGCTTTTTCATTTACCTGTAGCTTGCCTACCAAATTTGAAACATTTTCTTGTCTTAAAACATGGATATCTCTTATTGTGGGTGATTTAGATTTCTCTTAAATTTTCCACGGTAATCTATCATGCTTGAAAATGAGAAGGTGGGTACCTAGCAAAGATAAAAACATCAAACATTACCTAACTTGTTTGTAGGCTTAGCTGTTTGGTGGAATCTAGTCATTCTAGCCATAAGCCTTTAGATCGCATTTCATCTCATGTTCCCTTCATGTTCCATTTCAAATATAAATTAGAAAATAGATTCATATGATACAAGCTGTAGATTGATTTTGGCTTAGTTTGGTGCTTTACTAATGATATAATTTGAGGTGGACCCATGTTGGTTGTTTATGCGCTTGATATTTTTTATGTTATCCAATGTTCTCAAATTTGCAGGTCACCCATATTATCTACTATCATTAGTTCTCTTGCAGCATTATTCGGGTTACTTCCGAATTTGATTTCTGCTTCCTTGGTGAAAAGAAGTGTTGGCTGCTCATGGTCATCTTCGGCAGTTACAGCTACATGCACCCATCTATTGAAGGTGAAATTTGGTTCTTTCTTTGCTTTAGGAAATACTTTAATGTTTTTAACATGCAAAACCTTCACTGGAAATGCTTAGTAGACACCGCCCGGAAATGAAGCTCACTAGTAGCCAATATTACAATGAATGAATTCACCCAAAAAAATATTACAATGAACAAACTCAGAAGTTATTCTTCGTCACTATATATCCTCTTGTTCTATTGAACTACCGATATTTGATTTGATTTGGTTGTTTTTTATCTGGTACTATTCCCAAACTTCTACAATTTCAAGGCTGATATCCAGTTTTTGAAATTCGGCCGCCCGAGTGCCCAAGTGAAAAACTTTAAAAAATGCCTCGGCGCTGTCTGGGCAAGGTCATTATGCACCCTGTCTTTGGGCACTTGTCTAGGCGCCGCCCCGTGACACTTTGCGGACGGGTGGAAAAAACCCTCGGTGATGGTAAAAAAATATAATTTCTCCCCTAAAAAGGGGGGAAAAGGGTTGTGGGGAAAACCGTGGCCTTTAGGGTGAGAAACCCCCCCCCCCCCAAAACCACTCTTGTGATTTATCGAAAGATTGATAAATTTTTTATTTTTTCGATTTCTTCTCAAAACAAAGACAATAATTTATGGGTGGATATGGAGTTTCTAGTAGTTGATTTTGAGATCTTTTGACGACCCAATAGACAAGGTTTGCACCGACATCGATTTAATTTTGATATTTTTAAAGTATTATCATATTTGAAGGAGGGTTTTGATTTTATTTTGCTACAACATATTATGTTATGAATTATGTGTTTTTTTTTTTTCCTCTTCTTTGTTTTTTTTTTTTCTTTTTTTTTTACAATATATTTACACGTTTGTAGTTAAAATTTTGATTTTTTTTTTTATGATTAATTGAATTTTTTCTCATTTGGACAATGAAATTGAGCATATGTCGTATTCTTTTATGAATAGTTGATTCTTTTTTTGTACAATGTGTTATGTTTTGATTTCAAGCATTTTAATGTCTTAAACTTACAAGTTACAATCTCTTTGAGACTTGTATCATTCGTAAATATGTTATGTGATTGTAGTATTGTATTGTACTATTATGTTTTCGTCTATCACTATCATAAGGAGTTTGGGGCTCTAAAATTTCTCTAAAAACTCCCAAAGGCTTTAAACCATGCCCCTAAGAACTCCCCTGTTTTTTTTGTTTTGGGGGGGGGGGAGGGGGGTTTCAATTTTGGTAAAGGAACCTTGTCTCTAGGCGGGCGCCTAGGTGCCCGAATTCGCATTTTTGAACATTGCTGATATCTAATGGGATTACTTCCAAGAAATTTGCTAGCCAAGTGCATTTGAAGTTTCTTGAAGAGGATATAGTGTGTATAAATCTTGAGGTTTTGGGAGGTTGGCCTTTGCAAAAATTATTTGATCTTAGAAATTTTTAACAAATTTGAATCTTCAAATGATTCAATAGTAAACATTTAAAAATTGTAAGAAAAATTCTTATGGCTGTGGAACTTTCAAAACAGAAAAGAACTGTGAATTTCTCTTGTTGAGGCGATCTGCATGACTTTGTTTACTATTCCAATTTCATTTATAAGATCCTGTTATGTCAATGAATTATGTTTGCGTCTACTTATTTTTATGCCAAGTTTATTGTGTTATTCCAACTTTACTAGAAACGTCTCCCAAATTTGTGGTCAGGATTTATCCCTTTGCTTAAAAATTCCATATATGCACAATTTCTTATAACCATATTTTATATGTAATGCCCTTGTGTACATACTACTGCACAATCTTTGACATGTACAAGGCAAAGTTTTTACTTTTACCAGTAATGCTCCTATAAATAATGACATTGTTAATAGATCCTTGAATAGCTTTGTACAAAGAGATAACTTGAAAGAAAATGACTAATAAAATCCCTTACAATGCAAACAAGTAATGCTGCTATATAACAAAGGAAAGTGTTGCACTTTGGGGTTACAAGCACATCTCAATAAACTATGGAGATCAAAATTTTGAAATTTGCTATGGAACCCACTTATGTTTAACCCGGAGGTGAAGCATCTCAATAATAACTGTCTTGGAGGAAGAGTCAACATGTTCTGTTATCTCTCTTTGTTATGCCAATCTTAATTCAGCATTGTTAAGCTGTGCTAGTAACATTCTTGAAGGATCTCTCTCTCTCTCTCATGCTTTGTTGTAACTATAATGATATAAATAGTCTGTTTGGAAGTTAGAATGTTGCACTTCTTTCTGTCCTTTCCTTTTTGGAGCAAACAAAATCTTTTTCTTGCTCATCAGTGCTCCTTTCATGTATCTGTATAAACTGAGTACTATATGCGAGTTGAAGAACTGCCTATACGATCATAGAGGTTAGACTTTGATCTCTTTATGAAGGTTGTGGTTCTTGGTTTTGATTTTATGGGATCAACTTAGACCTGAGTTTTTAATTGTTACATTGCTCAGCTTGCCATAATGTGCATTATGTTCTGGAAGATTATTTTGTCTGATTGTGATATTATCTTATTACACTCAAAGGCTTGCTATTTTGCCAATTGTTTGAAGTTTTATTAGTGTAAACCTAAATTTGCTTAGTTTAAGGTGAATTTGGTCTTAGGAAAAAATATTCTATTGTAGAACAAATCAGAGTAATACGGTATCTTGTGCTAACCTGCAGTACCATACAGTACGAAATGCATTATTTATGGCCATGACAGAGTTTGGAAAGGTATACATTCCTTGCAAAATATTACTTCTGCAATATTTTCGTTATGTTGTGTTACCAAGAGCAAATACAGAAAGAAAATGTCTTACATTCGAGGTTATGGAAGAAAAGGCTAAAAACTTATGGGGTGTTTTTTTATGCACACGTGCATGTGTATGATGTCACTTTTAGAATCAGTATATAAATATTATTTTGCACTTAGTGCTTCATTGTCAGTTTTCAGAGGAGCCGGACTGGACTTTCATAAGAAGGAAAGGCAGTCAAATTTCATTTTTATTTGGCATAGACGATCATTGGGGACCATTATCAATGTTTGAAGAGGTGAACTTGACAATTGTTTATGCTTAGTATTTTAGAAATTAATCATGGTAATTGTTTAATCTTGTCAAAAAATCAAAAATAGAAACCAGAAAAAGTTCTTTGATCCTTTACTACTTTACTTGTCCCAAAAAAAATGCTTCCATTTTGTTGGAGCATTTCTCAATTAAAAAGGTTCACATTTGTTGCGTATTTAGCATCTCATGGACTTGAAATGCATGTGCATGCACACACACACAAACACTCACAGAGAGAGAGAGTGAGTGAGAGAGAGAGATAGAGAGAGAGAGAGAGAGAGAGAGAGAGATTTGATTTCTTTGAATTTTGTAGATTTCAAAGCAGGCTCCAGGTGTCTCTCAGTCATTGGAAGAGGAGGGCCATACACATGCCTTCAGTTGTACAGAAGCTGGCTCAGTCTGGGTTGCTTGCCATGTGGTAAATCTGATCAAGAACCAGATTTTTGGCTTAACTCTGCCAGGTTTGACCCCTGCATCATGATTGTTATTTTTTAATTAGTAGAAAAGTCTCCTTTTAGCTAGCAAAATTGTGACGCATTTGATATATCCAAATAATGTTCTGAACCCAATACCCGGAGATGGTAACTGAGAAACTAAGCATGTTTAAACTATATGTACTGGCTGAAAGACAACATTGCAGGGCTGATTATCCTTGACGCAAGCTGTCCTTATTCCTGCAAATTTGATTGAGGCTGTGCAATATATGATCTTAAACCATGCAATATATGTAACTTATTATTTGTTATCGAGAATGGGTCACTGCATTTTTTTTCAGGCCTCGAAAATGCCCGAGATTGATGCTAATACCTTCATGTCGGGGAAAAATCTCAATAGAGCATGTGTTCATTGTCACAATAAAAGGCCTGGTATTTGATAGTGCTTACAGAGAAAAGACTCATTAAGTCATTATAATCATATTCATTCTTTTCTCATTTTAAAGTTTCATATCACTGCCCTTTCATTTATTTGTTCCAAACTTAAGACTCAGTGAGTCAGTGGCTTGCCTTAGTCTGGTTCTGATTCAAATCTGAAAACAGGTTCCACACCTTGCTTCTAACATTACTTGACAAAGCAGTACTAGAACTAGTTCCATTTTGTTGATGTACATGCACGTGCACCCACAATTAAACACTATACACATAAAAATCAATATGTGATATTTATAGCTTCCAGTGCATACACCCTTTTGGGATAATTTAAGGATTCCAATTTGGATGACTTTGATGTGGCTGTGTCGATTGCATGGCCAACTGAGACTAGTTCATTATTTCAGTGCCCAGTATTTGGTAATGACCTAAGACCTGATTGGGTCAACCTGTACCTGATTAAGTAATCGGGCCTGCTTGGTAATGTAGTCCAAAAAAATGGAAGTTTTGATGATGCAAAATGAAGTCGCATAAAGAAATCAAACGACTGATTGAAAATAATGGTGGAAGCTTACAAGTCCAGCTTCAATTGCTACTTTGATTTAAACAGAAGTCTCAATACAAATAATATTCAACTCTGAATAAAACCCTCATACCAATGCTATCGTTACGATTGGATTCAGATCTGCCATTGTCATGAATGGCTGAATGTCAATGAGAGCAGGTTGGGTACACCTGTGCACCATTCAACCTATTCAATTCAAACATTTTTGGCATATCTTGTATGCCAATTACTCAATTCTCTTATCAGATGATATGAGTTCCTCAAATGTAACTTTGTCACCACCACCACACACTACCCCTAGTAGCCATCACACAAACTTGTAGTGTTTCGGGTGTTTGGGAACAAGCCTGCTCTAATATCATTAAATGTGGTGCCAAAAAAAAAAAAAAGAAACTTTAATGATGAAAACGAAATCACAGAGAGAAGTCAAAGAACTGAAAATTTGATAGAAAATAATGATGGAAGCTTTTACAAGCCAAGCTTCAATGTGGCAAATAATATTCAACTCTGAATCAAAACCAATATGCCAAACGTTATTTTTAGTCTAAACATAATGTAGGCTCCAAGAAAACCCAAATTTTTAATTCAATTTGAATTAAATTAGATTCTTAATGAAAATATAAGAAGAAATAACCAAACTACCCTCATAAATAAAATAATACCACCTTTCACCAAAATAAATGACAATTGAAATAATTTTCAAAACTACCCCTAAAATCCTAAGAAAAGAAACCCTAGAATCTCAATAATACATCCCTGAAATTAAATAAAGAAAAATTAAAAATGTGAATTCCCCTGTTTTGCATCACCTGGTGGGGCTTTAAACACGGCCTAGTCCACTAGTGCTAGGTCCAAACCTATTGCCGCCTAATCGAGTTGTTCGGTAGGACCAAATTGAGCTGGCCTAATGTGATCCAATTCCTGGAGTATGATATCCTTTTTTTTTTTTTTTCTTTGTTATTTTCCATTATCCTTTTTAATTTTCATACTGAATTAACATAAAATTCTGAAATACCCTTTCTTTAATGGGTAAACTCTCTCTAAGTTCACATGAATATTATACTGTTATGTTACCCCATCTCAAAAAACCATTTTTTGAGGTGGAAGAGAGACCAAAAGTAAAAAATTCCATAGCATTCCTTCCAAAAAGAATCTCCTCAAAAAAGCGGGACAAAGGATTTGGAGGCACATAAAAATGCTTCATATCTATCACATGTCAAGTTAAGTATGAGCCATCCAATTCAATGGGCATTGGGTCTAAGTATTTGGACCGCTGATCTTATTTCGAGAAGTCCCTCCAATTACAATATTCTCAAAAGAAAAATGAAAAAGAAAAGGCTTGGAGCTCCAAAATGCTCCAAACCTAGTGATATTAGAGCTATCTATTTTAAATGGATGTGGATTTGAGGGATTTAGAATTCTTTGGGAGTTAAATCAAATCTGGTTTGTAGGTGATTTTAGAACTTTGTTTTGGGTCTCTCACCCACCTCTACCTTTCTGAAGTGGGGTAACAGAATAATATAATGTTTTTAGGAAGATAGAAAGTTTCCCTTTTTTAATTATTTGAGTAATTTAATAATTTTTATGTTAAATGTGCTGGGCATGTTGGGCTGAAACCCAACACTTCCTGACACTAATAAAGACTGTTTGGACCCGACACCCCAGGCCTGGCCCAATTATGAAGTGGGCTGGGGATCCGTGGCCTGGGCTTGACCAGCTGAGCCAAGGAGTTGAGCATGAACCTGGCCTATGATGAGTTGGGTATGTTGGCGCAGATGAGCCCAAGCCCCATGCTATTTGCATGGTCTAGAAACCTCCCAAGTGGATTTTTTTTTTTTTTTAATTTTGGATTTTATGTGTCACTGTTTAAACATTAAATAACAAATGTTGATGTGAAGAATGGGAAAGTGTACCATACACTTCTGGCGTGTGGTGGTGTATGTTATGTGGCCTACCATGGTGACTTCCACTGTCCATTCCTGATGATGGATGATGAAGTTTAACTAAACCGAGTCAATGTCTGTCATCAGGAGTTGATTTTCTTTGCACATCATCTGGAGCTAACAGTGGATGTCCTTGCAGTGAGTTTTGTATCTATTCTACTTCTACATATGCTAAACTGAAGACACATCTTTATGCTACCCTATTGCTACAGAGAACTTGAACCATGTTACCCTGAATAGATAGAGTTTAGACCAAAACATGTAGGTTGAATGAGGTTTGGATAGATAAACATAAAAAAACTAAAAAAACTAAAAAAACTACTATCTTTATCTAATTTTAGTGATAAGCATGAGAAATTTTAAGGGAAAAGAGAAGAACGTAAAGAGAGGCATGAGAGAGATGGTAAGAGAGAGCACTTTTCATAACTTGAAATGATGCCGCTTAGTTGTAAAGCTTGGATAAATATATAATATAACATAGACAAGATACATTGAGAGAAACTTAAGGAGAAATCTGATGAGTTACATAGACATTTTTAGAGGAACAAGCATGGAGGTGAAACGTGAATGGAGATGGAAACTCTCAAGACAAAGTGCAGCTCCCATCACCCATCCATCTTCATATGGTTGGATTAAAGCTTGGGTTCCAAATACAAACAACTTGAGAAACCGATTGTGGTGTACACGTCTTGTCAAGTAACCCCCTTCTAAGATTCTAAGAATGCATCTTGAATTCGTAAACTCATCATACTCTTTTCCCAAACTCATCACTCTCCTGCCTATACATATTTTTACTATTGTTGTTTTTTATTATTTTATAATTTTTATCCTATTTTAGAATTTCTTTCATTCTTCTCCTCCTCCTCCTCCCCCCTCTTCTTCTTCTTCTTTTTTTGGTTAAGTTTCTTAGAGATTTTTCTCTCTAGATTTTCCTAATCACAATGTTTATTAGAGTATTCAATGTTGTTATTTTTCCTTTTATTAGTTTCTAGTTTTTTTCTTCGCACCCTTGGAAAATAGCATGCCTATAAAAGTCTTCTTCTTGCATGGTATTGTTTTATTATAGTTATTCTCATTTGCACTATAAGATGGTTTTTCTGCATTGCATTGTTTATCGTAATTGAATCTATATTCCTTTGCCTTTGTTAACATAAATTATGATCTTTTAACTTCATGAGAATGATGAGTTTGACATTCATGACCGTATTATAGTTCTGTTTATTTTTAAATAATTTGAGATATGATAAGAGTCAATAAGCATCTTGCTCATTTTTTGTAGTTTCAATAAGATTGAAACAATATTGTAACAATAAATATTGCTTAGTGAAAATAATAGTTTTCGTGAATTGAAAAATTTTATGCTTAATGCTCCTTAATGATAAGATCTATTAAGAGTGAGGATCGGAGGATCTTGGTGAAAGATGATGAGGTCAACGGAAGGTGGAGAATTTATTTTAAAAAATTGTTAAATGACAAACACTAGGGGAACACAACATTAGGATGAACCTTTGAATGAGCGTGGAGGTCATAGTTACATTCACAGGTTTAGGATATCTAAAGTAAAAGAAGCTTTGAGAAATATGAAGATAGGAAAGACTTTTATAATAGATGGTATCCCGATAGAGGTTTGGAAGTGCATGGGAGACATTGGCATAAACTGACTTACCAAGCCTTCAACAAGGTGTTGAGAACAAAGAAAATGCTAGACTAATGGGGAAAATGTACTATGGTACCTATTTACATGAACAAAGGGGACATACAAAATTGTACGAACTATCAATGAATCAAACTTATGAGCCGAACTATGAAGCTGTGGGAGAGAGTGGTTGAGCAATGACTAAGGCGTGAAACGAGTGTATAGGAAAATCAGTTTGGTTTTATATCAGGGAGGTTAACTATCAAAGCCATTTTTCTACATGGGCAATTGATTAAGAAGTCTAAGGCGTGAAACGAGTGTATCAGAAAACCAACTTAGTTTTATGCCAGGGAGGTCAACTATCATAGCCATTTTTCTACTTTGGAAATTGATTAAGAAGTTTAGGGCAAAGGAAAAGGACATCCACATGGTTTGTATTGATTTAGAGAAA